TGCGGATGCATGACCGAGCGCCCCCAGTGAGGTGAATCAATTAAAACTAATATGGTCAGCATCCAATGTCGAAGACTTACAGGGCTATATATTTTGGGGATTTATTTACCACTACAGCATATTAAGAGGTGATCTGATTTTGGTGTGTAGAATACTAAGAAATGATTTTTGACCTAACATATTCTCTTTTTTTATTTCCAATAGATCAGGACTTCACAGATGACATAGCAGGTGAGTAGAAAAGCTTAGAACGAAAAAGTACCAGTGGCATACGCGGTTTCCACACAGAGTGACCAATTCTTGAGACCTGTTACGCTAAGCAATCGTGTTCGCACCTTTAATTGAATCATTCAAAAAAGACTAGATACCCACAGAGGCATATTAGAAAGGGAATAACTTGGGCCATAGGCTTCTGTTTTCACTAGGCAATTCTGAATCTGGAGTTTTAACTACACTGGTTTTGGTTAATATGACCTTGATGTACGGTCAACATATAAACGTGGTTGTTTCTGTTCATGTGAGTTATAACTTTTTTTGAATAATGGTGTCTCTAGATTTTAATTATATGGTTTTTCGAGTGTTTTGGATTGCCAATTAAAACAGCAGTCCTGGTAAATGATTTCACTTGCCCAAATATATGTAGATGAACTTAACAGTATATACCATGTATGTTTATAGTATTAAGTACTCTTGTCAAAAAACGTTGGGTTATCCAACATTTAAGGCTAACTGTTTCATGTTCGGTTCCAGGTTCACGATAAGTGTACGTGTTTTCTTGCATTTATTTTCACCTGCATCGTGCATCACTGCATGTTCTTTTTCGCCCTACGAAATTGTTGACCAAACTTTGTTTAACATGGAAATTCGATCATAAGCATTGGGGATTCTAAAAACAGCCTTATCTCATCCACCAAACAAAAAACCCATTTTATGAGACACTAGTTCGTTAAAGCTGCACAAAAGAAGGAATTTTCTAACAGGAAGTATGTTCTAGTTAGGTGTAGGGTTTAGGTGCCTCTAGAGAGAGCGTGTAAAATATTTGTCCGGGCACTTGTAATCTATTGTAGTCTATTCCACATGCTTTATCTTCGGCATCGTAAACAACGCATTTATTTTTTGGCATGAAGTCTTCAAAACTTTTGATCATAAATGTGACCAGGTTTTGATTCCACACCGGCAAGACTCTAATTTATGGACGAGCCAATCAGAGGCGTTTTAAAGATTTCAAGGTTACGTCGCTTAGTGCTAACGTACGTTCGGTTCACAGGGAATTTTGTACAAAACGTGATAAATAAAACGGCGAGACTATAATTTGTGGACGAATCTATCAGGTATAAGATAATAGATGTCAGATTTGGGCACGAAAGCCTTAGATCCATTCGGGTAAATAAATTTTTGGCATTATAGATGATGTCAGTTTGTGATGAAAACCCCATATATAATCCCTAACTAAGGTAAATTACGAAAGTTATCAAGAACTGGATAATAAAAGCACCAGTAAAACCGGCTGCAGCCAGGTACTACAATATATGCGGATGTTTGGATAGCGTACAGACTCCTACATAGGCTTGGTTATGTGCGTCGTGTCTTATCCACAAGTGGTATTTCGAGTACTCAACAACCGGAGTACACACAAACAATATTGGAACTATGTGGTCGAGGCTGAAAGAGTTTTTGAGACTTTATCATGGCTCCAGAGGCCGACTATTCTGTAGCCGTATGGATGATTTCCTTTACCTCTGAACCTCTTTCTAACCTTAACAAGTTTTTGAATCACGTATAAGAAGTGTATCTATTTTATTTCTTTGGTTTTGTATAACATCTTTTTACTCTATACAGACTGCCGATTGGTCAATGTTTCTCAAGGTCACTTAAGATTCGTTCAAAGGCCGTCCATAAATTGGAGTCTCGTCTCCACACCTACTTCAGTCTTCAGAAGTAAGGATAGGAGGTAAACCCATTCATGTCAATCCCTACGACTTGTAGCACTGTAAAGTTCCAATCCCGCTTTCTATTAACGTGCAGTCAGTCAGTCAGCTACAACGTAGGACCAGGCACATATGTGCATCGGTCCAAGTTGCCATACCTCATTAGCACAGCAAGATGAACACTGGATTCATAGGAGTGGTTAGGTCAAATGTGATAATATATAGGAGGGAGATTGCAATAAGGATATAGTATGGGAAGAAAGAATTAGTTAGTAGAAAAAAAGATATGAAGTGATTTTAATCTCATAGTTTAAGGGAAGACAAAGTGTATACACCGACGCCATTGTGATCGATTCTGAGCCATGTCACCAAGTCTCTAACGATTTGTTACGAAAGTCACGCGGACTCTAACCAAGTAGTCTGCATCTACCAACATGGCTCACACTAAAAGTTAGTGACTTCAAGCACTGATGCCACGTTTTGGTTTGGCCGCCCCATACTTTCGTCCAACCATCTCTAACACCGGTTAGCATTGCACGTCGTGGTAATCGGTGTTCAGGCATACGTAACACGTGGCCCAACGCAGGGCCTAGGGAAAGAGAGTGAACACATGTACGCATCAGTGGCTTTGTAGTATTTAGTACTATTTCAAGTCTACCTAGATTGTTTCAGCTTTTGGACGTTATATACTCATATACATTGTCAATTGTTTAGTTGTAACCTTGACTGCCTTCATATGAGCGTATCTGTTCGTGTTTTTCTTATCACTTACTCTATTTGTCACATGTCTTCAGTTTTTTCTAACTATAAATGTTGAGTCATCCTCGATAAAATCGAATAGGCTGAGAATCCTTTCTCCATGTTGCACTTACCGTCTGTCTGCGTAAATAAAACAGGTTCTTATTAAATTTGTATATAGCTTTTCTCACAACCGTTGCCCAACAGGGTTAACTTAAGTATGGTATACAATAATAAATATTTACATTTCGTGGTCCATTCACTGTAATTCATAATAAAGTCAGAACGTTGACACAACCTATTCTAAGTCATGTCACTTAACGTTTCCAATCTTTGGTTACGATAATCGCGCGGAGTCCAAACAATCTGTACGCAAAAACTTAAATCCGTCCAACCATCTTATTTAAAATACATAAACATTGGTACAAGGAGGCACCAAATAAATATGCGCCACATAAATCATTCGATTCGTGTGAAGGCTGGGATACTGCCCGGGTGTCCAACCATCAGTGGTTTTATGATCTAGTGCCACGTTTTGTTTAAGTTGCCTCCAATCTTGTTTCAACTGACTCCTACGTCAACAAACGTTCTTCGTCGAGGTAGGCAGTGGTTTAACATACGAATGCTACCTTAACGAAGCCAATCTCATCCACCAATTAGCTATTCCTACCTAGTATCCTCTAAATTCTTAATTACGTGGTCCCAACAGCTCTTCAGAGGTACTTATGATCAAATACTAGTAACATGTGTATCTATTTTCAAAGGATATGTTTCAAAACAAAAATATGGAACGGCGGGTACTTCTGTTTAGAAAACTCGGCCTTTGGTTGGCTGATGGTAATAATGCCTACTCCTCGAGTTGGCGGGAGTCAACTTAAGTTTTTGAATTTGTACCGTGATTCCATCAAATACCGATCATACAGGGGTGATAGGACTTCTCAGATAAGTGAAGTGGTCTAAGAATGCAACTACTTCTCTGTCATTAGTTACATTTTATCTGAATAACTGTTCTGGCCTTGTGGGATATTATTAACCCTAACCCATTGGGTGTTACAGGTCTGTGCCCTCTCCCCCCGATCCATACAATCAGTGTCAGGGCTGGTAAAACTACCAGGTTGCAAAGTTCGGACCTGTGGCTTAGTGACTAAAAGTCAAACATGCATACCACTGAACCACCGTCCTGAAAGTGTTCATCAGTATATCAAGCTACCTGTATCACTGCACTTTAAATACATACAATTGATGCTTCCCAGGAAGAGTAAATTTTATTTGGTTTATTTACGCATTCAATGACCTCGTTCGTGCTGTTATTCAATAACTCTCCTCTTGTTTCCTCATATAATTTGTTTTGTGTATTCCCATGGTTTCTTACTGGCAATTTTTGAATTACACATAAGCAAATAAAAACCACGCTTTCCACGCCAGTCTGATTACTTCTTAAATCATTGATCGACGAATTCCGTCGTTCAGATAATCTTGTCATAATTTTCAATACTAAATCTTATTTTTCAGATTTTGGAAGTATGACTGGTTCACTTCAAAAAAAGTTAAATACACACTGGGCGAGGTCTGTTCCTGATAAACGACTTGCAATTCAGTTACTTCGAGTTACTCCATTTATTTTTACGGCAAGTCGATCAACTATGGGTAGCCTTCTTTGCTGTGACGTAGAAGAGCCTTTTGCTGTACTGTCTACATCTAACCAAGTAAAAAGTTTGTTCTAACTTGACGTTTATAGTATCCTAGGATCTACGACGGTAACTTATGGATTAGCGCAAAATTCATGTCCTATGTACGCGACCCTTTACCCAAGTGCAGGTATATCTACAATATTTGCTTTTCTGCTAGCACGGGTTTAGTCGCCGTATACGCGTTATCGAAACATGCTTTTGGTTAATTAGAATTTTGAGCTATTCTGTTCAGTATCTTGAAGAGAAGGTTTTTTCATTACTCATTAATATATTCATCTTTCAGAAGGAGCACTTTGCTTTTATTGAATCTTTTTCAATTATCCAGGAATTTCATACCAACGCAACAGTTTTCTCTCAGATGATTGGAGTGTGAGTTTTTTTGCTGAACTATTAACTTGGATTTATAAACGAGTGACCGTATCATGTATACAGTCGTGTTATGCAAAAGGAATGCAGATGAATAGCAGATTGTTTACTACTTTAATTTCATAAGTTCCTGTTCCATTAAGCCTTCCGCTTTATACATTTCTGATAATGAAAACTCACCAAACGATCAACTGATAGGTCTAAGGTCCGAACCCTGCGTCACCTTCGGTCCGTGCAACCATGTAATATCTCTAACCCTCACACTCAAATTAAGTGACTCAAAGTCGAATACATCAGTCTGTACTTGATAGACTCGTTACAATCATAATATGGCGTTAGTGATTTCTGGTCTCTCTGGTAAATTCCTTTAGGCTTAACAAGCTGGTAGCCGTAGGTCGTTTTTGAGTTGACTTTTAATTAGTCAGCAATATTCTATTTTAAGTATTGGGTTACAGAGATTGTTGAGTTTCATTAAAGTCGTGAACCAATCACTGTTAGATCACCATTAAAAACCTGGAAGCACTGGGATCTAACAACAATGGGAGACAGTCGCTCAATATGGATGCCGGCTCAGTAGTCTAGAGGTTAAGCGTTTGCGCACGAGACCGAAGGTATTGAGTTCAATTGCTGCGTGAGGAGTCGCAGATGCGTACTGCTGAGGTGTCCTATACTGGGACGAAACGGCCGTCTAGTGCTCCCAGGTTTTTAATGGTTTTCTAACATTGATCGGCTCATGATTTCAGTGAATATTTAATTTTGTTTTGCGCTCTATAGATCGAACAGTTCGATTTGGTTTTATCTTATTGAACTATCAAAATTTATTTCCTTAAAGTGTTAAACGATGTATCTGGTATGTTCCTGTTTTATAGTCAGTCGTTTTTACAGTAATAATGGGACACTTAGTTTTTAGATGTATCATACTATTTTCTGAGAGTAAAACTTTCATTTTATTTTGACTCCATTGAATGTCTGTGTACTAATTACTTTAGGACTGAAGCTATCGGCGACACGAATAAAAACCTTATTCTTCCACGGTAAGTTTCTATGTATCGTTATATTTACCTTCCTCTTAGTTTACCATTGCGGAAAAAAGCCATATCCAAAAAGAAACGTGTTGGTGTTAATAAAAAATGGTATGAACTATATTTAATTGGTTTCTGATAATAAATTTTTTCTATCAAAGAAAATTTGACTTTAATTTCCGTTAGTGGTTTGCCTAAAATGAATGAATCATACGCCGAAGTTATGTATTGAGATAGTTAAGGCGTGTTATATATATACAGAGCAATTGACTAGTAATATCAACTGAAAACACCAAATGCAGCTTCACCCGATGGAGTTTTACTTGCAGCATGTTTCATGAGTCGTGGGTTACGCACTATTTTTGACATACTCATTTCTACTGAAATTATTGCTTGTTTTTGCTCTGGAATGATTTAAACCGAAACATGGATAACTCCCATCAACCTTATCTTGAAGCATTAGTAACAGTCGATTGTTGGGAGCTACATTTGTGTCAGACAAAGTCAAATTGTGAGTCGTACACACAACTCATCACGTGCCGCCAGCACAATTTCCTGTTACGTTCAAAAAATTGAATTGGTTACAAAACGCGTCGTCAAACAAGCTACTCAAACTTTGATGATGCACCTCTGATGAAACCTGTACGGCTGAATCCTTGGTATGCACTGTACGAATAAATCCTACGAGCAAATATTTTAGGAAGCGGTTATTTTCATGAGTTGTCAGTACTGTGTGCCTTTATACCAAAACCTGTTACAACGTCGTTCGTCTCATTAACGAGCTCTAACAATTTCGTATTGCGGAAACAGTATTAGCTACTGGTTATGTCACCCGAACGAAAGTTTTTTTGATTGAATTGTTGTCTGTACTATGCACGTAAACGAATGTTTTAAATCAACTGGATTTATTTATCGTCTTAAGTAGCTATGGCCAATTCTCAGTTGAGTTAACTAAGAATACCATTTGCTGTGTTCAGTTTGTTCTATAACTAATTTTTTGCCCTAATTCTTGATTTTATTGTCAGTGACTTTCTCGGACCATGCTCTAATATACCTCCGACAGAAGATCCTCCCCAACAATACTCTCCTTTAAAAACATCGTCTAAAACGTCGTTTACTGTTGATAGCTTGCCTGGCGTTTTCGCTGTTGACAAACCAACAAATTATTTGGTCACAAATTCCTCAACAGTTATTGAAAATAAAGAAGTGGGTTTTTATACAAGGTCTTTTTCACACTCAAATGTGATTTTCCATCTTGATGTTTATAGTTTTATCTCATATTATGTCTAGCAGTGTATTGGTGATTATTTTAGGCAGCATCATGAAAACTATCCATTCACTTTGTTCCCTGTACGAATGTGAACAAAGAAAAATACAAATTTCACTAAATTGGCCAAATTCATCGTATTTTATTTCTTCTCAGTTACACTTAAGATAATTTAGGCTAATCATTAAAACAATTTACATGTTAACATAATTTATAAAGAAGAAATAGATAGTTATCTATTTCTTTGTTATAAATAACTTGAATAGACAAAATAAAAAAATGTTATAAACAGACCTTTTAAGTACCTTTTAAGTACTATTGTACCAAATCAGTATGATTATTTTTGTTGCAAATTACAATGTATAATATAAATTTCAATTTTTTTAAAACTCAACTATTAAATTATTACAATCTCCACAAAAAACCCTTCTGATAATAATCATCATGTGCTCACTAGTGACTGGCTTTAAGAGGTATTTTTTTGAATTATTATTTCCCAACTTCATCTTTCTTAACAATGTAAAGAGCTGTTAAAGTTGATTTAGATTGGAAAAACATATTGTTTTCGATTAGATCCTCATCAGGCTTTAATCTAATATAAAGTAATATTGTGGTGTGAGCTACTTATATTGATATAAGTAGTATATAACATGCGTTAAAAGAACGTAATGTCCAGCAGCGGATGACGGCGAAGATCAAGAAATGTAGAGCGAGAACACAATGGAATTTGTAAGAAAATGCATGAACAATGGAATGGGAGACAATGGATTGGTGTTTGCAACAGAAACAGTCCAGTTTGGTCTGATGCATGAATATTTTGCAAATTGACGATTTACTGTATGGTATTCGGATTTTCTTGAGATAGTCTGTAATTGTAGTTCTAAATACATCAGTTTGTCTCCACCCGTGTTCTTGTTCACTACAATATTTCTATGCATATAAGAAAATTATTAAACCAATCACTTGATTCATATCGGATATGAAGCTGACTTAAATACACCTTCAAGTTTATCGTATCCCATTTAATGTAAACAACTGAGAACATTAGATTACATCTGCAGAAACTAACAATATGTATTGGAGAGAAATCTATCGTACTAACCTCACTACCTTGCTAATCAATACGACTTAAGCCTTAGTCCAATACAAACTACCCTGAGTTGCCAATGTAATATCATTCTTCAACTTCTTTCTTCTCTTCAGAATTGAACTTCTTGGGTTTTATTTCTCACATAGTCATTACTAATATTCATCTTTTTTTTCTTACGTAACTGTTATTACTATTCAACCTTGTGATAAAATGTTATAGGTGATTGGGGTAAATCAATTTGTAGGTCACTCATTATTTAATCAATGAAGAGCTGACTATTGCGTCTAATCTTTGGGCGTCGTATTAACCCCCTATTCTCGCTCTAATCATCCATCATTGCCTTCATGAGTTTTTCTGATTTATAATTTTGTAATTTGTTCTATGACATTAATGTGCAACTGTGTTGAAAAGCTAGTTAGAAAGAAATCCTATTACTTTTTGTGTTTTCAAATGTCTGGATTCAAACTCATTTTATTTTTTATTCAAACAGAATATCCCAATCACAGAAGCTTCAATTATTGATTCAACCTCACCCTTTTCAAAAGACTCATCACTTTTCAAGGATCTCTTCGATAGCAACGATGGTAAGAAATTGCTGACATTTTTTAATATCTAATACAGTGATTACTTGAATTTTCACATGTATTTGTGGAAAAGGTAGTTTTTCAATAGTGCTTTCGATTGACTGCATCATGCAGTTATGAAAAAGTCACAATGTGTTTTATATTTCAGTATTTGTGTGGACAAATAGTGCAGATGTAGGGGAAAAACTATGTTGTATGGACGCCCTTAAGCGACTAATTGAAATCTAGATTGTCGATGTTAAATATTAGCACGAATTTAAAACTCATTATGGATAGCTTGTTAATAGATATCATGTTTTTGACTGGATTTTGTATTTTATGGGGACCGCTCTTCTTGTGGGATGAACAGTGCGATTCAGGATGTGCTAACGTTAGAACGGTAGGGATAATAAATAAAAATAAGGTTGAATTATACCTGCGAACAACCTCCAAGTCCCAGCACTTTTAGTCATCCAGGCGATGCCAATGATGAACGATTCACGTATTATGCTAAAAATTAGGATGTAGAGATTGATTTTAAGACTTGCTGAGAGTGGGGAGAGTCCGCTCTCCCTCTCGAAATACTCTCACACGGCCACGCGTATATAGCCTCTGCCAGGGAAGTCCTACTCACTGCCTTCTCGTGGCGGGGGTGTTGTTTACGAAAATGAGAGGACGAAAAGCGAATGTCCGGCGCTTTAACCGGATTCCAAACCAATGGTGCACATGGGCTCCAGTATCCTGCGGGAACAAATGGCGAATGAACCAATTGTTGGTCACCGGCTTCCATGGGACTGCATCTCCTTACGATGCTCCACTGCCTTGTGGATCAGACCTTTGGGTCGAAGGCTCGGGGTGTGGCCCCCTAAGAAAACCACCTGCTTCGGTTTGGGCACCCGGGCAGTATCACAGCCCTCACACATATCGGATGAGATTTGTGTGGCGCATATGTATTTGGTGCCTCTTTGTACCATTATCTATGTGTTGAAATAATAATAATAATACTTGCTTCATAACTAACGTCAGTTCGTGATAAAAACCCTAACTCTTTCATAAAATTTATATGCTTATTGGCTAGCATCTGATTTGTTGGTTTTAGGGTTACTCGTTAAATCTCTTAAAGCCGTCCCTATAGTATAGCTTTACCAGGCGAATGTGTGACTTCAGTAATTTCCATTCAAATTATGCACGATCGTTATTTCCCATTTTTGTGTTATTCACGAAATCCATCATCTGATTTTCATTTTGTTACGCTTATATGTAAAATATTTGGACAATGATCCAGTTAAGGGATAGAGAAAAAGTTACATCAAAAATGACATTTTTTGCACTCAATATTATTCTCTCCAAACTGTTCGCTGTTGATCAGACAATCTATTATCGGTTCGCCTATTATATTTTACCATTAAAGCTGTTTAATCATAGGGAAATAATAATTTACAATTAATCCTAATTTGATATAACAGGTTTGATAGCAAGGGCTTGTGTTAACTGATACAAATTAGAACACTTATGTGACCCTTGTTCAGGTCATTATAGTCATATCTATTGATTATATTGTATACAACTTCTTGTAACTTCTCATCTATGTACATTTGTTATGTGTAGTTGTCTATCTTCGTTCGTTGATTTTACCATTCGTCCATTTGAAAAGTATATCAATTGAGGCACAAAATTATATAACGAGTTAGCTGGTATTGCCAATTCCAACACTGAATTTACGCGATTATTCTGTTTGTCTGCTAATACGCTTGCCTGAAATACAATCTTCCCATCATGTTGAGTTTATAGCTTTTAATATCACTGTTGTCCAAATAGGGTCAAGCGAATTATATGCGAAATACAAACTTTAGAGATAAGTAAATTATAGAGTCAGATCTAAATACAAATTTAATGATTGCTCATTTAAAATGAGAAATATCTTTGTTTCCCTTTTAGTTTGAATATATGTTAAAAATAGTTAATATGAATTGTGTAGTGTAGATCTAAACTTCTGTATTTTTTCCGCTGCTAAGTTCTCCGTATGAGTCACCCTTTATTTTTATTACGTTTAGAGACATTATCTTATTCGTACTTGTCCTTAATGTATCTTAAATCTTTTTTTTATAAAATAAACAACAGGTTAACAGGGTGGACATCATTAGTCCATATTGTAATTGACTATTAATTTAAACTGTTTACGGGAAGTATAATCTTTCTAGTTGCATGCCTCACGATAATTGTAACCGGTGGTTTGAGATCTTGAATATTTTGGCTCAGTATTATATACGCTGCGATAGATTCATTTCATCTTTATTTACCTCTAAATCTTGAAATGTGATACTATATCAATACTTTTCGTTCTCTGATCTTATTCAAGTTATCGGTTAGCTAATTATTGCAATGGAGCGAATATTGGGAGATTTTTAACTTTCGCAACATTTTTATGGAGAACTATTATTTGTTGCCTTATTGAATAATGACTAGGTAATTAGATTGTTGGGTTTTTATATTCCCTGCGTTGTAGCTTTCGCTCGAACTCATTAACTATTTTTATACGTCTTCTGTTCCCAACTTATTGTCCAACTTTTTATCCGTTTTTTAAAAAACAATTATGATATAGTCGTCTATAAACTATGATTTTTTATATGGGGTGTGGTGTAATCTGTGAATTAATGTATATAATTTTATGACTGTTTAAGTTATGGTAACTGGAAGAATGGTTTATTGGATGATTGAGCAAAGATAGAAGGTTTACTTGCTCGTCGTGTTCTGGTGTCCGACTTAATGAGGGAATAGAAGGGTATGGGTTCTCGACCAATAGGAATTAAAGATATCCTGATCACATTTTAAAGTTAGTTGTTAATAGTAAAAACAAAAAATCAGTTTATAAACTAGAAAGTATACTCGGGATTGAGAATTATCAACTTGATTCTGAATGATGACTTTTTTCTAGTGATTAAGGTGTGAATACGTAAATTCAACAATTCTAACACTACTGGCTCTGTTTTGAGATTTACACGTTACTTTCAGCATTTGTTTGAATGGTCACTCTGACTGTTTGTCGATCACCAGTCACGATACGAGTATTTTACCACAATTACGTAGAGTAAAATAAATCTGCTAATTGAATTTTTCATGTTATTACAGATTATTCTATGGAACTTACAAATCTCTCCAATAATTTTATGACTAGTGAAATATTAACGCCTTCTGCTAAGTTATCTCCAAACAATAATACAAATATAATCACTTCCACAGTAGCACATTCTCTGGTAAGTCCCAATTTTACAAAATATGGTTGCTGTTCAAAATTTTATCTGTTTATTTCTGTCTTCTTTATTTTATTATACAATATATAGGTTGTTATACTTTTACGTTTTGTCCTGATTATTTTTTGATGTATCTGTACAAATCGTGCTCCTTCACTGTGCTGTCAAAAATATTTGATAAGTATATAATCCATCCAAGGATTCTAACTCAACTACTGATTGTTGTATATAATTCAGAATACAACAAACTTCATTAGTAGTGATATCGTCCAGAGTAAACAAAGTTCCGAAGAGTAGCGACGGAGAGATTATGAAAAGCTTTGACAACTGCGGAAACAAACTGACAGACTTTAGTTGGAATGACTTGTTGGGACTGAAATGCGTTAGGTATCAGAACTTACAAACTTTCGAAATAGATTAGCATAACTCTGGTTTAAGCTAAATATTTCAATGAGAAGTTTCTTTTTGGTGTTTTCACTTTCAAAAACTGTTCAATTCGTTTTAAATGAGAAAAAAAGTGTTATAAACAATTTTTGCGTGTTGATTTGTGAAACTGCAGTGTATCGGCATAAAATGTTTTCTTCATTTATCTGGCCGTGCAAATCCTTAAGATTTTGTTTTGAATATCACTGTCGAGTTGCAGATCAATATGTGTATTATTCAGTGCGTTCATATCTTTGGTAGGACTATGGGTAGAGTAATGTTTGTAACTCTCATACAACAATTTTTACTCGAATTGTTGTTGTGCTGGAATCTAAATTAGCTTGTCATTTTGCATAAATTTCTGGTAGTAGGAATCCTTTGCTTAGAGAAGTTAACGCAAGTCATTAATAACTTTCGTTATTTAGAATGAAAAGACATAATTTAAAAGAAAATCTCGGTCTTCTGAAAGAAGACTTGTAAATATCAAATCATTTATATAGGATTCTCTGTATATTTCTGTCATTATAGTTAGCCTAAATACCATTTTAATTATCTGTGTTTGCAAGATACTTCATGTGCTATTTAGAGGTTGCTTAACTTTCTATATGGCTTTCAAATAGATTATTCATAGAAACTGTGAAAATTTATAACTGACAAAGTTGCAATTTGTATAAGCAATATTTTTTAACATGATTTGAAGTACACTCTCGTTCACTTTACTTACCACTAGCCTGCATATTTTTCTGTCGAAATATGTAGCACGAGCTTAGATTGCTATATTTTTTATTGAGTCGTATATTTGAATTTTCTGATACCATTTTAACCTTTTTTTATTCCGAACTTTTAAGCAGGCGTCACTTTCCGAGTCTCAAGAAAATAAATCATATTCACCCAGTACTCAGTATTTTTCTGTTCAGAATGGTAAGTCATTTATCTAATTACTGACGTTATAGTTTTTAAATACCCATTACATTTGACTTATAAGTAGAATATCTTTGCCTCTTTTTTAACTACAACCAATAAGTCTACAGCTCTTTGTAAAGTTCTGGTCAGGAGTCTTTATTATTATTTTAGCACATAGATATTGATACAAGTAGGCACCAAATACATATGCGCCACACAGATCTCATTTAATATGTGTGAGGGCTGTGATACTGCCCGGGTGCCCAAACTGAAGCAGGTGGTTTTCTTGGAAGACCATACCTGGAGCCTTCGACTTGAAGTTCTGATCCACAAGGCAGTGGGGCAACGTAAGGAGATGCATTCCCAGGGTAGCCAGCGACCAACGACTGGTTTATACGTCATTTGTACCCTCAGGATACTGGATTTCATGTGCACCATTGGCTTGGAATCAGGGTTTTGCAATTCCCCTAGGTGGACTCTCCATGTCCACCAACCCAGTTAAAGCGCCGGACATTCGCTTTTCGTCCTCTCAATTTCGTAACACAACACTCCCGCCACGAGAAGGCAGTGAGTAGGACTTTTCTGGCAGAGGCTATATACGCGTGGCCATGTGAGAGCATTTCGAGAGAGGGAGCAGACTCTCTCCACTCCCGGCCGTACCAGGGCATTTGGGGGCCAATGATTGACGTCTCCTAACTTCGATTGAATGCCAGCAGAAAAATCTCACTGTAGAGGAAGTGAGTTTAGACGTTTCATATTATGAAAGCCAGATAAAATTGCATGTCTCAAGAGTACGAGGTTGGTGAGAAATTACAAATGAGGCATGCTATTAGGAAAAGTGGTTTATATACCCTAATCAACGTCTTAGCTTTCATGTCGTTATATGTTTCAGTCAGGACCAGCATATAAACACCTATAACTTGTGTTCATTGTTATAGAACTTTAAATTCAAGTTTTTTAGTCACTCTCAGTCTTCTTATTTTGCACGTTTACAAAACATATGTGTATTGTAATCGAGTCGGATTACACATCGCATCAATTTCCTGTCATTTGACAAAGGCGGTGATATGAATAAACCTTTGCTTCTAGGTTAATTTGGTTACGTATATGTGATTTAAAAAAAGATATCAATTGGATAATAATTTTGTGTTTAGCAAACCAGTTCAGGGAAAATCGTGAAAACATGCTGTTTCAAGATTTATTCAAATCAGTTAAAGGTGCCAATTACCAAAACTTTTTTCAAGTCATTTAAAAAAAACTAACCGTAATGACTTAACAGGTCAGATCTTAGTGATATTCTCTTCTGACTTAGCGAAGTTTCTGTAAGTGGTATGCAGTCTACATACACATACACACACCTACTAATTACATTTCTCTTGAAATTCGAATTTAGGGTCTCAGATAGTAATTATAAAGTTTTTCTATATTATTATTATTATTATTATTATTATTATTATTATTATTATTATTATTATTATTATTATTATTATTATTATTATTATTATATCAGCAAGCGATGTCTCAAATCTGAAAACTTCGATCTCTTCAGTTACGGAAATTAACCCAGATGGACAGGTTAGTGTTTGCTGTTACCATATGAGCTAATAATTATAATAATGTCTTATATTCATTTGTCCCTTGTTTGGTAGGCAACATTAGTAAAAATGAGAGAGTTAACCCGAAATTACATGTTTTTTTCAAGGTTGTTTCTTTTTAAAATCATTTCTTCATATTTATTTTTATTAAACACTAAAACACCTGGAATCTATTTAGCAATTTTACGTAAGATGTTTTGTGAATGGTTGAAATTGCCGCCAATTTCCTATGTTTATAGTTATGATTAACCGTTGTTAATATTATGGGAGCTACTTTTTACTTGTACAGTAAATTACTTGTAGAATCGTCCTATTTACTATAAACGGATTGTTTTATCATGAAATATGGTTGTGGTTGTCAGGGTTTCTTCTTTAGACGTTATGCTTTGACTTTTTGGGTAAACTATAAGTTTTTATGGTTGTCTGTTTTTAGTGAATTTGCCCACCCCTTTTTTAGAAGGTATCATAGTTTTTAATTGATGGATTTACTATTGAAGCGTGAAATTGTCTTTAAAGGTGCTAGGTCATAATGAACATTGAAAATTAAAGTGTAGTATGCATTTGTTCCATTCGAGATGCTTCATTATTGTGTTTAACATATGATTCCATTTTATTTCTCCCATTTTATTCCAGATAACCGACTCACTGCTTGAATCATCCTATGGGTTGTCCAATAAAACTGATTTAACAAGTCATTCCGTTGTTTCTAGTACTGACGAACAAAATATGAATTGTAAATAGATCTAACATTTCTACTGTTTTGTATTATTTTATCCTTCGAAGTTTTGAGTACGCTTTATTGTATAGGTATTTCTTTTTAATATCTATTAACTGTTTGTGTCTGTTGACCGTTGTAAACATTTTTTATGAGTTTATGAACCATTTTCTGTCAAGGTGTTTGGAATATGTCTGGCAGGATAGAAGTAGTCGAGAAGTTCATGTATCTAGGTAGCTGCATAAATGCTGGTGGTGGTGTGAGTGATGAGATCGATATAAGTATAGTGAAAGCCAGAGCGGCTTGTACCAATCTGGGCCATCTTTGGCGCCTTCGTGATGTACGTCTGGCCGTAAAAGGTCGTATCTACAACGCATCAGTGAGAGCAGTTCTGCTCTATGCTTGTGAAACCTGGCCTCTCCGAGTTGAGGACGTTAGACGACTCTGTGTTCGATCATCGCTGTCTCCGAAGGATTGCCGACATCCAGTGGCAACACCATGTTAGTAATGCAGAGGTTCGGCATCATATGTTCGGGCGCAAAGACGATAATCCAATTGGTGTCACTATCTTGAAACATCGACTTCGGTGGCTTGGACGTATTCTACGAATGTCGTCCCAGAGAATTCGTTGTCGTGCATTACTTGCTGATTCTGGGACTGGTTGGAAAAGGCGAGGAGGTGGTCAGTGTATGACATGGTGTCGTGGTATGAAAGAAAGCTGTCCCGGACTGGCTTGTGTTGGTCCTTCACGACTCCCTGGCTGGGGTCCGAGAGATGGTGCGACACACTGGCTAGAGAGGTTATAAGATATGGCTTAGAATAGAAGCCAGTGGTAATCCTGCTGTAACCTTTTTTTACTTTCTTCATAAAGAGTGGTCGTATCTTCCTTAACTGGAAGACTTCTTTTGGTTAAACCTTTCCGTCTCCACCCATTATTATTGTCATTACCATTATTATTATTACACTGCCTTACACTAATCTTGTCGTTATTGTCCTTCTTTTTTTCTTTCACGCTTATTACCTTTTTTTCTTCCCATTCTCATTGTTTTGTGTGGCGCATATATATTTGGTGCCCCCTTGTACCAATATTTATGTGTTCAAATAAATAAATAATGTCTGGCAGCCACTTCCCACTCCCAACGTGGTAGTTTGTTTTGAGGAGGGTAAGTAGCTGTTGGACTTGGGGGTTTCATCCATTCATGATGTCATAGTCTTTGGAATTGGTTTGTGTAAGCGGCTGCGAACCTTTTATTTGTCGCTTGCTAGACAATCGTATTTAATTGTTGGTATCACTAGCTTTCACATTGCACGTATGGTTAAAAAATCTTAGTATATAAACACACATTTATTTCAATGGTTGAGATCATGAGTCAGTTGAAGCTAGACCACCATGGAAATCCTGGGAGCACTAGACAGCCGTTTCCTCCCATTGTGGGAATCCTCAGCAGTACCCATCCACGACCTCGCCTCGCGAGATTCGGACCCAGGACCTATCAGTCTCGCACGCGAGCGCTTAACCAATAGACCACTGAGCCATACATATTTATTTGACAAGTCACACTAATGATACTGTTTTATTTTCAGGTCAAAGTGTTGATGTAACCATCAACGCAACATCGCCGACCCTTCATAAGGATCCATCTATTGTTAATTGTGTACGGGACTCAGTTGTTCATGTTAGTTCTCATCATTCATTAATTAATGTCTCGTTTTTATTATTGTATTATAAATATGCTGTATGTCTGATATATTAGATTTTAATGAATTTCCACTATGACACTTTGTAGAGAAACTTATGACTAACTTTGATTAAATGTGTTCTAATTTCATGGACCAAATTGATATTCAGTGATTTGATACTGCGTCTTTTTTCTATATATATCTGACCCAATTATCATCACATTTCTTTTAGTCATAGTCGGATATTCAGATTGCAGATTATGAATCGCAGTCGTTCTAAGTTCTCAAAGATTGTGCTAAATCTCAAAACTATTTTACCGATAGTTCTATCACTGACGAACGTAGCCAATGGGGTTTTTTGTGAAACTCCAATATCTTTTGTTAATCATTCTATCAACGCACATTTGGGCAGTGGATAAGCACAGTACTCACTGTGTGATACATCCAGCTCAGAGAACAAAACTCCACCAAGATACACCACAGTTCTAAGCTATGGACACATTAATAGTGAGCATTTTTTTTCAAATGATCATGAAATGTATAGAAAAGGATTCTTGTTCAACTTTGTGGTCGACGTACTTTTAGAGATAACATTCTCCTCATCTAAATTTCCGGGGGTTGAACTTCTACCGGGAGGTTCACTTGTTGACTTAGAATATGCAGATGACATAGTTTTATTTGGTGAAGACGCTGACAAAATGCAGAGTCTTCTGACCACTCTAAGCAACAATGCAAGCATGTTCGGGATGCGATTCTCTCCCTCGAAATGCAAAATGTTGCTTCAGGATTGGGTTACATCGACACCCGAACTAGTGATAGGGAGTGAAGTAGTTGAGTGTGTCGACCGCTTCACTTATCTTGGAAGTCTCATCAGCCCTTGTGGTCTGGTGTGTGACGAAATCTCAGCACGGATACAGAAGGCTCGACTAGCTTTTGCCAACTTACGTCATTTATGGCGTAAGCGAGATATCCGTCTATCAACCAAAGGACGTGTTTACTGCGCAGCAGTTCGTTCCGTCCTACTTTATGGCTGTGAAACATGGCCGGTAAGAGTAGAGGATATTCGTAGGTTACTAGTATTTGATCATAGGTGTCTTCGAAGTATTACTCGTATATCCTGGGACCACCGAGTAAGTAACGCAGCTGTTAGGAAACGGGTACTAGGTAAGGATGGCAAATCAATTGATGAAGTAGTGAAACTTCATCAGTTGAGATGGCTGGGACACGTGTTACGTATGCCCAACCACCGACTACCTCGACGTGCTATATTCAGTGGTATAGGAGTAGGTTGGAAGAAAGCTAGGGGCGGCCAGACCAAAACATGGCACAAATCCATGAAGTCACTGACAAGTGGACTGAGTCATGTTGGTAGGTGTAGACTACCTGGTTGGGGACCGCGAGATGATAGCAACCGATGGTTAGAGACCCTGAATGACATGGCTCAAAATCGTTTGCAATGGCGCAGGTGCATCCACTCTCTATGTTCTCCCAAATTCTAATTATCTGAATTCTTCATGCCCCTTTTTTTCCTCTTTCCAAATTTATTTCACTGGATTATACTCGTTAAATAACATCTCTAAACCCTAATCTTCCCGATTACTGCTTATACTCTTGCTACCTCTACCACTACAGGATTTGAATCGACCACTGCATCTCTGTGCTAATGTGGTATGGCAACTCGAACTGATGTACGTACGTACTAAGTTCTACATTGTTACTGACTGACATAGAAAAGGATGGACGTTGTGAATGTAGCACATCATCAGTATTTGTTTTCTGACCAGTCTATCATTTCATTAGGAAATCCTGCAATGACGTTAGTTCAATCACAAGAAGGTATCATTTATTATTTGTATACTGATAGCCTAGATACGGTTCAAATTTCACCACTCACTTGTCCCCGCTTTATTAACATATCTATGATTATTGTCGAAGTTGAATCACAATTACACATTCTGATTCTTTAGTACAAACATATCATTTTTATCATTATTGTTATTCTACCGATCTAGTTCGTTCAAGGAATAAAGAGGAAATTTTCACCGAAGGGAACATGGGTTAAACCACTAATGGGTCGTATTCTGAAGCCGATTTCTGGGAATGAACTACAGGTAAGTGATGTAAAAATATATTTATGTCTACTAAGCGGTAACCTTCAGTTAATGTTACCAATCAGTGAATGTTGTAATTCCATGCGTATCATTTTATTACAATCTAGACTTTATCTTTCTTTCATTTTAACGGTGTATGTCAAAATCATTATTACTTTCAACTGTCTCTTTTTAATGTATCATATTGTACAACGTCGACCATATGGAAAACTGTGCTTAATAAATTAGTCAATAAAATCGTTAACAACCTTAACTTTGAACTTTGTCTGTTTCTAGACAAAAAGGTTTTCTATCAGTAACAGAAAATAAACATACATGTTCAATAGTGCATTAACTACGATACATCAAATAATTTAAAGTCTAAGAGGAATTGACAATTTTCCCAGTGTAAAGATAGTTTTTCTCTCGAATATTTGTAAAATAGTTTGTGAAAGAGGGACTTACCTAAAATAAGTTAGGCGACCTCATAAAGGTTAACAATCTAAAACTGGAATTAAGTTGATCAAATAGTGTGTAGTCAGGTGAATCAGTTAATACTTATATAAAGTCGGCTTAAAAACACTTTGATTACTTTGTTTTTCATCCAGTTTTCATATTGTTACTGCCATCGTTTTAATTTTAAACTTGAGTGTAGATTAAATTAGTGAGATCAAGTACTATCAAATAATCCAATTAAAAGCAAAGCTTGTGGATTACAACAATGAGCATTTAAATAGTAGGAAGCAGGTTCAAACCCTACCTCATTCTTTCCAGGTTGAAATGCCAGGTAGTCCACATTATATTACATAGAACTATACTTGGTAAATTAGTTATTGGACGAATATTTATTGGGTTACTTCCAATCACATCTCAAAGACATGTGTTAGCATTTGTCTGTGTGTTACAGTTTTATCCATACCACCTTTGCTAAATGGATAGTGAAGTGTTGATCGACTGTCATTTTCATTGCCAACTGTTATTCGTCTATAACTTTTCTTATTTTTCGTCCCTCATATACTTTAAAAATCCGTTTTTTAATTCATTGTTTACTATGTTTTATGAAGCCTGATGCTAAGCGTCCACGAAAATTCGCTTCAGCCCATTCTCCCACTGCTTTGACATCTGCAATAACTGTTTCATCCCCTAATATATCGAGTATATCGTTGACAGATACTAATAGTTCACTTGGAAATCTGGGATTTTCTTCATACACACTTAATAGATCAAAATCTTATCCTTGTAATCCTGTAAATACTCCCAGTTCCCTGCCGATAGTTCGTTTTACAGAACGACAGCGTAATCCACTGCATGAAGTAGTTTCCTCCAGTAACAGTAGCGTGAGTCCCGTAATTTTTATTTATTTGGTATAATATAGCCTCGTGAAGTCATCAGTATAAGTTTCTTGATAATTTGGTTGTTTTTATATGTTAATATTCTGTTGAATGTTCTGTATGCTTCATAGGCAATTAGTGTTTGTGGTATAGATGGAATTGTGACCAGTAGCAAAATTCAGCACGCGCACTTTGTTCTTCTTGAAACTCGTCAGCTGGATATACTTGCATTCTATCAGTGCTGGTGTTCAAATAATGATATTGATACCTTGTGGACTAAGTAACTCAGTGAATGATAACACTTTGGACGTTTGATGTTAAAGGTAATAGGTTTGAGTCCTGGCGCATACAACAACATTTTCATGTACGTAAATCCAGCTAACGAGCTTCAAATAGGACTGAACGCACGTCCTGAATTTCACCGCTAGTCAGAAATTCATTTATTCTATAAATATTTGTGAAAGGTGGCTAGACGGAGGCAGTCCGCACATGATACTCTTATAACGACTGAACACTTGTTAATTAGTGTCTAAATCTGACCTTAAATCACACTCGGTTAACTTTTTATGCATTCTTAGGCTAAATTTCGATTTATAGTTAACTTTATTTCCACTTGAGATATTGAAAAGCCAAATATAAAATTGGAATTTATTTTTTTTACAGAAGCATTAGCAAACCAAGTGTATAGAAGTCAGACCATCTAACAGAATAGAATATATGCAAATTTAAATATGAGTGTATATGTGAATTATTTATTGAGTATATCTACAACCAATAAGAGAATATATGAAAGGAGACACTGGATATGCACACATTCACGCGTACATTGGAATATATATAACTGATCAAATGTCTGAGCTACAGAAAGAAATTACTAGAAATACGATTACATTTTTTATCTGCCCATAGAAGGGTAGTTTTTATGTTCATATAGTTGAAAAGAGTTTGCTACAATACATATATGTCAACAAAAGCAGATCAAGATTATCAACAATGGATTAATTTGAATCCTTCGTAGTAAAGATACAAATAGAGTTTTTGTCAGACAGTGAGTGTAAAACTGCCTTAAGAGTGTAAAAAGTAAAGTCTATTTTTATCCACTTGCTTATTTTTTATAGACGGGAGTGCATCTTCTCTAGTGTTTGGATCCCTTGTGTATTCAGTAATTTTAGCAACTAATCGCTTGTCCACAAACAATAAAATACTCTGAATAATTATTTTATCGTATTTCATCAGATTTTCCTTAATATATTTCGTTTTGAAACTGTAGAATTTAAAATCAACCTATTCCACTGAATCTCCGTCATGCTCTGTAACTAATAGTATAAGCAAACAAAAACCACTGAGTAACTGTGAACAAAGGATTCTTAAAAGTGTAAGTTTTATTTTCAGTGACTTTTTTCGTTTCACAGTATCCTTTTGTGTGATTGCTAAGTGTTTAGTGAATTGTTATTAGCCATAAATATATTCTCTAACCCATGTATTTTTCTGTACATTGTGGAAACTTATATTTAGTAATTCTATTTCATACTATCATCTTGTTGATCTTTGTCTGCCTTAAATTATTCTCCATATCACTTGATGTTTAATAGACTATGCTAGTATGTAGCACACATCATTATATAGTCTCCGTCGTTTAGGTTCCGTAAACTCAATAACTAATACCCCCTTTTCGAATTTACACGTCTATTTGTATTAGCTTTTTTACTGTATTGTATATTGGGTCGATAGAAATATTATCTCATTCATACGTCCCACAACGAGAACGGTTGATATGCTTCTGGTGTGGATGAACTGTGGAAGTTTTGAGATTGAGATTTACACTTACATTTGATATTAGCTTGTAAAATAGCTCGCGTAATTTGACTAGTTGGTTGTTATAATGACAGAATTACATCGTCCACAAGTGTAGTTCTGTACGTTTGAAAGCGTAGAATTTAGAAAATTCTATGTCAGAAAAATGTCTTCTGATTTATGACTTTCAATGTATATCAGTTACTAGTTTAAGCTTTACTGTTGTTGTATTAAATATAGACAGTTCATCTCTTTGAATGGAAGCTAAACATAGCTTTGTTTTATCCTGGCTTAGTTCTTATAAATATAGCCTTTTATGTATTTTTGATGCTATGCAGTAGTATAATTTTCACCTTGTTGTCAGTACTTGTATTGAAAGCTTTTATGATAAAGGTTATGTACTATTCTTTATGTGTGAACTTCGATTACTTCACATCATGCGAACTCCCGCTCGCGGGATCGTGGATGCGCACTGCTGAGGAGTCCCACAATAGGACGAAACGGCCGTCCAGTGCTTCCAGGTTTTCAATTGTGATGGTCTAACATCAATTGGTTCATGATCTCAATCAAAAACTTAATAATCTCCACAACCCCTATACTAGTAATCAAATAAAATAGTTGTTATTAAAGAGTTTATAGGTTATTTTCTGTACGTAGTCAGTTAGTTTAACAGTTTTTTCAATTTATTGTTAATTAATAGACAAAATTATTCTTATCTGATTGTATCAAATTACCTTAGTTTACAGAATTACGTAAACAGTGTTTTTATCACACCCATCAATAATATACTTATCAATTTGTGTATGTATCACTAGTTTATTGGCTTCATTTAGAATTTATGCATTTCACCTCTATATTTACCCTTTAAATTGTATTCTTCAGTTAATATTTGATATGAAACGTTTTTATATTGAATTTATGTCAAATTGAATATATGATGACGTTCAACAATGCACCATTTCTTATATTTTCATTCTACAGTACATTGATTCAATTAATGAAATTCGTCGAATTCCAGTGAACGAAGACAATTTTTCAGAATTAAGGAAATGTTTTAACTTGTAAAAAAAATTAATTTCTTTTATATCCTACTTGATATTCTGTATATTTCCTATTTATTATCTCTTCTTTTAAAAAGACTATTTTTCTACCAGACATAAATATAAATGATAACAGTAATGATTACTAAAGTAATTATCATTGCTCAGGAGTTTACTTATAGTCTTTTATATTACAAAACTAGTATATGTATATATTGGGGAATGGTGGTAGTGTTCAGACTATCTTTTGTATCTTCTCGTTGTTTTCATGGTAATACATGGAATCCTCAACACATATGGTCACAGATTTATCAGTGTTAGTTATCCGGTGGTGATTGAGTTCAACTAGTTACAATGTTAGTGCGAACGTGGAAGCTATTTTTCAGGTCAAAAAGCATAAATTACATCAATTCGGTTGTTGAATTAAACTCAGGACTACCAGAGTAGGATCATGTGAATAAATCATTTTTTCAAATACAGCAGTATGGTTTGAATTTTCGAATGAGTAAGGCGTAAACAAGTGTAGATATTGATCGCTTACCCTTTTTATATAACACTACAAGACTGAATTCTATGACCTGTTTCAACCCGATAGTTTGTAGTGGCGATTTGTAAGTATTAGTCGTCGATTATTTTTAGAATATTGGAATTTATTCGCTCTTACTGTTGTTCTTGTACAAATTTAGCCACCTTTACTCCTTCCTGATCTCAATCTATTCATGTAACAATGAGTGTGATGCGAATAATTGTATACTGTTTAAGACCTTGTTGAAACATGGATTTTGTTTTGTCAATATTAGTGGGAATCTAGTTGGTATGACATGAAACTATTTATGGGAAAAATTTCTTTCACTGTATGAAAATAAAGTATTTTATGAGTATTCTCCGTCTTATATTTCTCATCAAACATTCCATAAATCTGTCACAAACAAAATAATCAGTAGTGTTTATCAAATTGGTAGCAAACGTTTCTAGTTCATGTGGATAATTTCTGTAGCTTTTCGTTCTCTTAATCGCAAAGTTTAGTTGCTGTTTTGTTTTGGACAACATCATTAGTATAATCTTCAAGTAGAAATGTGATGTTTTAATTACTTCACCGATTCTAGGTAGATACATATGTCGAAAAGTATCGTTAAGTTAACCATCGTATGGTGAATTTTAAAAGAATTGATTGTTAAAATCAACGTAAATGCCTTTGATATGGGAAGTAGTTGTCGTTTTCGTCTTCCAATTAACCCTAATCGGTTTAAATGGTTTTTTCTAATTAGCGTTATTTCAGCAAGGTTTTTTCTACGAGGTGAGGTAGCTAATCCCGTGCGCAACCCTCCTCCGTTATCTGGGGTTTCATTTTTCAATAATGAATACAAATCAGTTTGATTCTTGGGCGATTAATATTGTCTACTCATTAGTAGGCAAAATATGGAGGGCGAAATAGTTTCAAGAAAGACATCATAGAATATATATTTGAAAATAATAACAACCTATTTGTGGAAATTGAATATTTCAAGTTGATTATTAAATACGGTATTTCTGTTTTGTAAATATACACTATGACACTTAATATTACAATCTAACCTAGTTTAGGTAGATTTTTCTGTTACAGTACAACAAAAAGTTGTCAAAATGTGAGCATAGACTTCATGCCTTGTGTGAAAGCTGTGTCGATGATATTAATTAGAAGTGATTTGAAAGCGAACTTTATTTCAGTTAATTAAAATATTCCTTACTCCTACGTAATGAATATGATTGTCATTGTATGCAATACAATCATTTCCAACTGTTTTACCAATTTATTGCGTCTGAATAATTTACTGTTAATTGGTTGGGAGAATTTTCTTTTCTATGCACCTTGAAATGAGTGAAGTATGAGGATTTCAATAGCGTTACGTTGAACATATTGTAGCGGAAAAATACTGAGTGGGCTAAACCGATTTATTTTTTTAAGCATAATTAAACATTAGATTCGTAAATTATATACACTAAATACATCATTTTCATATCTCTCTTCAGTTATCCTCTATATACTTCATCATTCTTCTTATCCTGTTGTTTTTCTGATCGCTCTTCGTTTTGCCTCCTCTTTTTAACTTTTTCTGCTGGTCAGCATTCTATTTTCAATCCTTATTACATACTACTTTCGTCTGTTTTCATGAGTAGTGTAGGACACAATATGTTTGAATCACAGTAAGCTGTTACATAATGAGTGAGCGACATATAGCGAGGTTGAAATGAAGTGACCATGTGTACTGAGAAACTTATAACCGGATATGCCTCGGACATGTTCTGTAAGCCTATTTAAGATAGTAAGAAGGTGCAAAACTCTGTTTTTGGGAATTAACATAAAGGGACTCGGGCATTTATATTATCCTGACTTGCTGCAGGAGAATTGACTCAACACTAAGCTATTTGGCATTGATATGAAACATATTTCTATACTTCTAAATCACTAACTCGAAAGGAAATTCAGACATTGATGATGAATGTAAAATATTGTGTGAAAATAAGCAATAATTCGCATAATTATTTAAACGAAATAACAAAGGTATTAGGCATTCCGATTCCGAAAATTTTGAAAATTCATTAGTTCAGTCAGTCATAAGCAATGTAGAAATTAAAACATATAAGTACTAGTTCAAAAGTTTAAACCATGATAGGACACCGAGTAAATGGTTTATAAAAGGTTAATGAATAATTTAAACCTACAATATACAGTTAAAATAAATTTGAAGTAAATGTAATATGTTGTTTAAAATAAAAAATAACACGTCCATTATTGACTAGAGATAAAAGCTATTTGTTCCATAAAATTAACTATTTGCAATGACTAAACCTACAAATTATATTGGAAATGAATGTTTCTAAAATTTCCTTTTTTCAACCCATTATTGTTCTAATGGTCATATATGTTTTGTCAAGAATCTCACACCAATGTTTTATTCATTTTATTGAATAGTGATCATAATTATAGGCAATACTGTACAAGAGAAAGATAATTGTTTTTCACTGAAACTATGAGACGATCAGTGTTACCCCACCATCGAATTCAGGACATTTGATCTCGCGCGCTAACACTTATTATCTAGACCACTAAGCTGGTATCCATCGGTGGTACTGTCCCTCATCCACGATATTGTGCAACCATTTTCCATTGTCTTTAGTGGGCATCTGCCTCACCCCCGATATGGATGAGCTCCACTGGTCACGGCTTCTTACTAGAACTCTGGAAATTCCGTCTCGAAGCTTGTCATTAGTGTGTACATGATAATTTCCCGTATGGAGTCGTGAAAATTGTTGAATTTTATTGGAATCTTGAATATATTTAGTCCTAGAAGCCCCACATTAGCTCGAAACAACTCTCCGGTGCTTCCAGGTTTTCAGTAGTGGTCTAACTTATATCAATTCATAATATAAATAAAATTTAGCAAGCTCCACAACCCTACACTTATAACGGTTTTTTATTGAAATGAAGTGCTTTATTTGCCTATTATTTAGTCAAGTGTGTAATCTTCAGAAACAGTCTAAATATTTTGTTGTCTTCTCACTACTTTTTTATTCTTACATCATCCTGTTTGAATAAGTTTCCTTTGCAAATTATTATTAGTTTATGAATCATCGGATATCGTGGAGCACGAGAGAAGTGTTTTCTTCTTAGCTGGAACTTATCGACGATGCTTTGCTATGAATATGGATTGTATCGAACATATGACCTTCGTTTCTCTCTATAAGCATAATATCTTTAGACAACGGGTTCTAAAACCTAACGGTTATATTTTCCTATTTCAGTCAATTGGGAGAATACACAATCCTGATTCAACGATATTTACAACAAACTGTCCCATTTTCGACATTTCTTGTTTGTTAATTTAATGATAGATTTAATTGCCAAATAATACTAGTCCAACCATTTATATCATACACCAAGCAGATTAACTAGATACTGATGAAGCAATAGAATTTTGTTTATTTTTAATTTATTTATTATATTCACTAGGATACTGGAAGATTTATTATTAATACTAATGAAAAAAGTGTTCCCTTTGATATTAGTAGTATGTGAATTCAGCGACAAAAATAAATAAATAAATTTATTTAGTTTTCTTGAGAAGTCTTTAAATGTGATATAAAAATGATATACTTTTTAATAGATTTCAATTCATTGACAGAGTTCATCAGTACAATCATATAGCCAAAAATTAGCATTTTTGTTTTGTTTTAAAATATATTTACAAATTTATCCAGTGTATAAGTTCTTCCAAATATTTTTGTTTTCACTTCGTCGCTTATCTTGGGAGCCTCATCAGCCCTTGTGGTCTGGTGTGTGACGAAATCTCAGCACGAATACAGAAGGCTCGACTAACTTTTGCCAACTTACGTCATTTATGGCGTAAGCGAGATATCCGTCTATCAACCAAACGACAGGTTTACTGTGCAGCAGTTCGTTCCGTCCTACTTTATGGCAGTGAAACAGCCGGTAAGAGTAGAAGATATTCGTAGGTTACTAATATTCAATCATAGGTGTCTTCGAAACATTGCTCGTATATCCTGGGACCATCGAGTAAGTAATGCAGTTGTCAGGAAACGGGTACTGGATAAGGATAGTAAATCAATTGATGAAGTAGTGAAACTTCATCAGTTGAGATGGCTGGGACACGTGTTACGTATGCCCAAAGACCGACTGCCTCGACGTACGATGTTCAGTGGTATAGGAGTAGGTTGGAAGGAAGCTAGGGGCGGCCAGACCAAAACATGGCACAAGTCCATGAAGTTACTGACAAGTGGACTGAGTCATGTTGGTAGGTGTAGACTACCTGGTTTGGATCCGCGAGATGATGGCAACCGATGGTTAGAGACCCTGAATGACATGGCTCAAAATCGTTTGCAATGGCGCAGGTGAATTCACTCTTTGTGCTCTCCAAAATTTTAATCTGATTCCTCCTTGTCTCTTTTTTTCTCTTCCCAAATTTCACTGGATTATACTTCTTGAATGACATCTTGAAACCCTAATCTTTCTGATTACAGCTTATAATTTTACTAGATCTAGCACTACGGGATTTGAATCGACTACTGCATCTCTGTGCTAATGTGGTATGGCAACTCGAATTGATGTACGTACGTACGAAGTTCAACGTTGTTACTGATTGACTTACTTCGTCAATAATAAAAGTGCAAAATGATAGAAAAGTATCAAAAATAATTTTGACCAATAATTTGAAGATTGTAAAAAATATATGTATTGTCACAGATTAAGTTTTCCCTGATTGAATTCATTCAAATAATGATTCCTTTCTCTATCTCGATTAAATTTACATGCTTATAATTAAATTTTACTTTAATCTAATTTAGAATTCTAGTTTTAAATAAAGCTCACTGTATTATATTGAACTCAAATAAGGACAATATGAGAGTAAAAGATTATTGTGTAGAAGACAGCCTCTATAAGTACATTATATATATATATATATATATATATATATATATATATATATATATATATATATATATATATATATATATATATATATATATATATATATATATATATATATGAGAATCCTTTAGATTTCGAAAGTTTCAACCACACAAAGGGACTTAATTTATGTTTACAATTGAAACTTGAAGTAAAGTCTTTAAATACTTGTTTGTAGACAAAGTTATCAGAGGTTTAAAAAGCTAATTAAACATTCGAAATGACAATATTCATGTTATGACTTGTGGCAATAAGATTTGTCGATTTTCTTTCGACATATGTTAACACTTAGAAAGTGTCAAGGGTATGTGAAATGAGAAAAAACGTTTCTTTTTTTTTAAACGAGAATAAATCCTTATAATTTCCTGTTTTTGATATTAAAAATTGATGTATGATTTAGACATTTCTTGTTAA